CTGTAACCTATCCAGATCCCGTCACTCATGGTCCTCCCGCCAATATTCTCTAAATATACCTCCCCCACGTACTAACACAGGTAACATGCAAAAGGCTCCACCATTGGGAGCAAAGTTTTAGGTCCTAGGTAGTATATTCAGACACAGATACTGCACCCACCACTGAAGTTAATGGGAGTTTTAGTACTGGCTTCAGTGAATGCAGATCAGACCTTTCTAGAGCAGCAGGTTTAATGATCCCCCTCACCTCAGTGGTTTTGAGGATGGGGTGTCCAACTTCATGCCTGTAGTACCCTACTCCATTTATAGTCATATTGACTGTTAACTTTCCTGTCACTGGTTTTCCAAATGTGTATCTGAAACAGGAGAAGCAAATGATGAAAAACTTCTGGCTGTCCCTTTTCCATTTATTTCTCTGACTAAACTGATGCTGAACTTACATATCCAGAAAACAAAAGAGAAAAGCCACAACGGGCTATTTCCAACTGGCAACTGTTAAAATTTCTACAAACGTTTTTACATGGGCAATCTCCAAACCACTCATCCAAACTAAAACTAGACTGAGAACAGAAAACTCCTGTTTGAAGCTCTGCAGGTTCCTATACACAATGGGCAACAGACCAAAGAGATTATTGGACTTGATAGTCAGATTAGTCTCAGGCTCCATCTATTTTAAGATTTGGGTTTTTGTTTCCAGCCAGTGCAAACTTCTTCCAATGTCTTTCTGTTCTCTGTTGTTAAAGCAAAATCAGAGTACAAACACCAAGTACCTTGGTCAGGACAAACATGAACTTTAAAAAAAGGCACTGAAAGCATTTCCGACAAGTCTTATTCAGGAAAATGTTAAAAAAACAGAAAGTTAAACCAAGTAAAAATGCAAGAAGTAAACAAACAGAACTAGTGGAAAGTGTATTCAATACTTGAATACTTTCAGGTTTAAGAAAGAAAGATAAAATAAATATTTTCCCACCATACAACTTTGAACTTGAAAAAATGAACCTTCAATTTGAAAATTTGGCTATGCTCAAAAATTTCCTTTCTTTTAGCCAAAAGATTTCATTACAGTGGGTACCCTGCTTGCAGTTTTAGGTTGGAACTAGACCTGTCAGTCACCTGCACCAAGAAAATGGTCTACCCCTGAAATTCCTTTCAACAACTTTCAAACTGGTCTCACTTGCACATTGTGTTAGCTGTGCTTTGAAGACTTCCGTTGAAAGACAATGATTAGTACATACAATGCTGCGGGTAGCAGGTTTCATAATGACTTCTCCAAGACTGCCAACAGACATATATTTTAGATGCTGATAACTGACAACAGGGAAAACCTTTCTTGAATTTACTTTGAGAATGAATGCTATACCATGTGTAATGACTTGTCTGAATTAAAAATACAACACTCCGTGTCATCTAACAGCTTTCTCCCAAATTCACCATCCAACAGCTGCAAAAGAACTTTTCAAGTATGGGGCTGTACTAGGGGGGCACATCTCCTACCTAGCATGAACAATCCCTTTTTCACAAGTCGTAAGATCTCGGATATAGCGAGGTGGGTCAATCAGCAGCTCAAACTTTGGTAGGACTACAAGGAAGACAAAAACATGAAAAAGGGTTTTTGCTAGGATCTCAGAGTCCAGGACACAACAGCAGCTGTTCAGATTTGACAAGATCACTGTGTATTTAGAGCAGTGTAGATGAGATGCATTGCTGATGCACATCTCTGAACGGACAACAAAAGCAAGGTAACTGGATCAGTCAGTGCAATAAATCAGGACTATCTTGGTAAGCTGCTAGTGACAATTACCTATGAGGGAAAGGAAAACAACAACTTAAAAAATGTTAACAGCTTTTCCAAAGTACAACGAAATCTTTGTTATGTATATATATGTATTGTGCCACAAGACCCTCTGTTTAAATTCCTATACTATGCTAAGGATATAAACAAAGGATTTAATTAAGTGTCCATTTCTTGCAGCCTATTAGCTCTCAGAAGAATATTTTCTCCATGAGTTTTGGGAGCATTTTTTCATGGTTATGGCACTCTGCATATTTTGGGATCAGGGTCCAAGTGACCAAGTCAATAACTTACCATATTTCTGAACTTCAAAGGACTTGTTGTATGTTTGCCCTTGCATTTCAGCAAAGATGAACCATTCACCAAACACTGGTTGATCAGACAAGGGGAAACTCATATTTACAATGCCTAAGGGAGAAGAAAAGCACTGTGAGCACTGTGACTGTTCGATCCATCCTTGTAAAGGCCTATCTAATGAAACCCAGAAAATGCAGAAAACAACATAAGCTAGCAAATATAAATAAAAACATGCTGAGCTGCAACAGGCTGGAACTTACCACAACAAAATGGCTTCAAGTTGCTCCATTCTATCATGCGAGATCCCCGAGGATCCTGAATAATGGTTTAGGACATGCGATAATAGCAGAACAAAAGTAAATGTCACCGATACAGCCAACTCAGTTTGCAACAAAAGATTTCATTTTCTGAGCCACTAACAGCTCACAAACAATTTAAAAAAATAATTATTTGTTTGGGCATTTTAAATTTATGCCAGCATTAAGTTGGTCAATTAACACAAATACAGGTCAGGAAATGAATCACTTCTTGTCAGAAAAAGAAAGTGAACAAAGAAAGGCAGGTTTGGGGGTCTCAATCACCTCAAAGACAATGACAGAGGGCAGGGCATAGGGATAATCTAATACAACCTTTCTCTTTCCCTGCATTTCTAATATGTCCATTACCATAACATCTGGGAGCAAAGCTGGGATTTGTCCCTACCACGACAACCATATTACCCTAACAAAGTACAAAATACAAGTGTATCTGCACAGGGAGGGAGGAAGGAATGGAATGGGATGATAATATCCATAAACCCCATTGGATCTAACCAACTGTTCATTTTCCACTTGAAAGCATATTTATGGGGAAAAAATTCTGAAACAGAAGCAGAAACCAATATTCCTGTAATTATTACAGAATAATGCAATATACAATGCAATACAAATGCTTCATTAAAAAAACACCCCAAAATAGCACCACGCGCATACTAGTAATGCCATAGACTGTTGCTGCAGATGGTGACAGATATGGAAAGATATGCATTTATGACTTGCCCCCTTAGAGGCCCTGAAGACCTTGTGCTTCTGCAGAGTAATGATGCCACTCGCTAGTAGCAGATACTCACCACTACATATGCTTCAATCTGAAAGAAATAAAGAATAAAACCCCTTGTGAGACAAAGCCACATTTCTATCTCTCACAGTAAGCTGCAAAACTGGCACAAGCAAGGTCCACCCTACAGTTTCTGGCCTCCATATGTTGGTGCAAAGGAAGAACATGCTTAAGCATCCACTTGAAAGAGCAGTTTGGTGCAGGGGTGTCAATCTCACATGAGCTGGCGGGCTGGATCTAGACCGCAGGGCTTCTTATGGCCTGGACAACCCACCGCTGGATCTGGCCTGTGAAGCTTCTTGCCAGGGCTCCCAGAACTGTTGTGCTGGAGCAGCTAACAGGCAAACGGTAACACTTCTCCCACTCCCCACTCCACTGCAGATTTGTATACTGAACAGCAATTGATAATTCAGCAGTGGGTAAAGGCAGGGTTGGTGTTACCTTCATGGGTAACACTGGGTGTGGTGGCACAGCAGCTTGAGCAGCCACTGTGAGAAGCACTGTGGGTCAGATTCAGAGGTGAGTTGTCCAGCCAGAGAAAAGCCCTGTGGACTGCATAACCCACCTCTGCAAGCTGAATCTAGCCCACAGGCTGTATGTTTGATATCACTAGGATAGTCAAACCGCCATTTCTTTCAAGCATCTGAAACCCCAAACCACTAGTCACCTAATTAAGGGACTGATTCACCTTCCAGGCACTCCTATCAGCTGCCTTATTTCACTATGGTACTTGACAGAACAATCAGAGATCCACATATGTCTTCTTTTTCATCAACAATGTGCCAAAATCAGTAACTAAACTTAAAACCACTGCTTCTAGGGAAATCAGTGAATTGCAATTCCATAACAAGATGCCAGAGCAGCTGAAGGTATATGGAACAGGAACTCACTACACATTTGTATAACTATGTATGTGGGTGACAAAATCGGAAAAGCAGGAGGCATTTTCCAATGGGAAAGGAAAGCCAGTCTACCTACCTTGTCATTGATTGGTCTCAGGTCAGAAGTGACCATAAACAAGTTGATCAGCACTAAAAAGGGAGGAAAAAGGAAATTCATTAAATATCATAGCTCGTGCTGAACAGGAATTGCACTCCCAGGACCCATTCTGAAAAGGAGTTCTGGTTGAAGAGTGCAGCCATGTTAACATTTGAACAAAGGCATAAAGAAGCTCACTGAAGCCCCTTTACCTTTCTGCTTGGGTTTGTAGACAGGTTTGTCAGTCTGGATGAATACTGATGACCCTTTGCTATCAATGGTTACTGTGGTATAGTTGTGAAAAATGTAACCTTTCTCTGTCAGGTGCCGGTTGCCCCAGACTTTTAAGTGTGCTTGTCCACGAAGCCCTGGAGGCACCTAGAAAAGAGATCATGAGGTGGGGAAAAACAGGCCTTAGACAAGGCCTTTGCTTACATGGAAGATGTGTGTTATTAATGTCAAAGTCTCAGGAACAAAACCAATAGAAGCAATTTATCAGCCCTAACCAGGAGTTGAAAAGCAGTTGGAGATGAACAGAAAAGCCACCTGCTGCATCTCTGTGCAACTGTGTGAACGACAAATAGGAAACGCAAAACACATTGTATATTTCACAAGGGGACTGAAAGCTTCAAAGGAGGTAGGGCTGTACCTGCAGCACAGCTTGAAACTGCCCTCTTCTCTAGAATCCCAAACAAGGCTGTTTCTGATCTGTATGTCAAGATCCTGCTAACTTAAAGGCCTACAACTCTATCTGGGCTTAAGCACTAAACAATGGAATCTTCCATCAGTTTGAGATCCTTAATCAGTTCTTAAATTGCGTTGAAAATGATGTGCACTGTGGTGTGTGACTTCTAGGAATGATATAGCAAAGAAAGTGAGTCAATACCAATGCTGCAAGTGAGGGCAGGCGCACATGCACGAGAGACCATTTATACAGAAATCTACAGAAGACACTTTTCTTATCATACGAGTTGGGGATCTGGCCTTGTGTTAATACATCCTGGCACTCAACAGTGATTGGAAGAAAGGACAGGAGCATTTGAAAAGCCTGAATAAAATAGCACAATTAAATTACTTTATTTTGTCCAGCCAGTAAGATATTCCCATTGCACATGATTCCTGTCACCCCCAGACCTTACCTGGCTTCTCTGGCACATTTGTTTTTTTGCCAGTGCATTTGATTAATGCAGCTACACAAATAACTCCCATTACCATCAGGGGGAGAGTTACAAAAACAGACTCAAGGCAGATAGTTATTCTGACCTCTGGTTATGGGCTACTGAGTGAAAAAAAGTAGTTCAGTCAAGGAAGTGGGAAACTTCAGAGTGGCAGCAACTAATGCTGGACCCCAACTTTTCCCCCTTCAACAATAAAACCAGTGATTCACTACAGATTGCACCTGCTCCTAACAAGATAGGCTAATGTACAAGATACCCCAGCATGAAAACAAATATTTTGGCAATCAAAGGAGTAAATGTAGTCTGAAAAAGGAATTTATGACAAAAGGCATGACAATTAGTGACTGCTTAGGCCAATTATAAGAACCTTGGCCTTACCATTTTTAAGGAATGGCATTATAGTATTTCTTGAAACAGTAGAAAAAACACAGGCCCCAAATTAGAAAGGAGAAGAAAAAATATCAAACCCTTTCTGGAGCCCAGTTCCTAGGACAGTCATATGGCAAACTTCAGAGAGGGCAAAGAAAACTCTGGAATGTACCACCAAGAGAGCAGAGAGTCGAGCAGTCATGACAGATCAGCATCAAGCTAGTTAAATGTAAATCAAAGGCTTTGATTTATTTATAGGCCAATGACAATGCTGTGGATACAGCAAAGGCATCCAAGCCCTTTAAATGAATGTACCACAGTTCTTTTAAGGATGTGCGTCTGCTGAATCAGGAAAGTAATTACATTCATTTCTTATGGTACAGCATATGAAGGAGACATTCAAGTGGGCTCAAGTGCAATAAAATTACTGCAATTCACTAGTAATCAAGATAATGTGGATTTTATTTTAGTCATGATCACATAGCTATAGTGACTAAACCAAAGAACTATCCAGACCCTGTAGCTCTACAAGCTTCTTAAAAGTGATATTGTGCCAGTATTCCAGATGCATGTCACAATTTAATAACTATAAGATTTGTTCCCCACCCTCAATCTCCCACTGGAGATAACCACCCTAAAGCAAGCCCTGCCTAAAATAATGAGATCCCATTTTTAACACACCACTTTGTCTTTCATTCTTGCTCTAGTTCGCCATAATAGACTTTAATAACAAATGGTGACTATATTAAGTACCAGATGGGTATATTCATACACCTTTTGTAGCACCACATGTTTTGATGGTACTTCAATAAGGATGATAAAAGCAAGCCACATTTACTTGAATTTACATCCAGTATTTTACCAAATCTGGAAAAAACGAACCAAATGTTAACATGGCAGCAAAGCAAGACCAGCTTGTAGAGATAGCCTATAAATGACATGATTTTCCCTGCATGGCACTCAGTATCTTCATTTGCACCTGTGTAAACTACATGTAACAGTAGTAAACTCTGATTTGACAGCATTTAGCTCCTCTAAGGCACACGGACAAATGCAAAGTACGAAGAAAGGGAGGACTAAGCCCACAGGATATTTCAATTGTGTAGAAAATATGGACTAAGCTATCAGCCTCCTAGAAACTGAATGAAGGTCAGTCTCCCACACATCCCTAAAACTCAGATGATCTACTTAGATAAGTTTGTAATGGCTCTTTTTTTAAAAGGGCACAGAGACTTTCTGTTATGACTGTGTTAAATTAAACACGATTATTTTATTCCATCATGGACTTTCTTCAGGTATAAATGTAGTTTCCCCATGTTTCTAATATATCCAAACTTAACATGTCTGCCTTTTATTAACTCCCTTCCCCATGTGCTGAAGTATTATTAATGTCAGAAGCTAAACTGCACAAATCTGAGATGAGTCTGTGATAGAAACACAGGGTAGACAGGAACATGTTATTGCTGGAATAACTGCCAGGTGTCAAGTATTCTCTTATCATGTTTTGGGAACTAGTGTGGTATGTCCTGTACCCCTTGTCACATAGATCCATATGCTGCACCTACAAAATACCCTAGTCATAGAACTTGTTATTATGCAATCATCCATTTAAATTTCTCTTGACCCCTGCACATACTGTTCATATAAAAGACAATCCACTCAGGCTGCACCCTGAGACATTTGTTCTACCCTAAACAGATTCTCAGTTTCTTTGGCTGTCGTTTGTCTTCATCGGTCTTAAAGTCTTTTCTCTGCAAACACTAGATAAAAAAATCCTTGACACTTACCTTAAGCTTAATTGTCCCTTTATCTGAAAAAAGAAAGACAAAAAATTAAAGTGTGCCTTCTTCCCATACTAAAGCACCTACCTTGAAGCTAAGCTGGGTTCGTACAGTCACTAACTGACAGGTCCTCAGATTGTGGTTTGATTCAGCAATTTCAATTTTTCTAGAACAATTTAATAACATACTTATCATGACGTTAAAAAAGCATCAACTTGGCTGTTTACTTAATGAGTTGAGAGTAATGAATTACTTTGCCTTTGCAACTCACACCAGAAATGTGTACAAAGATTATTCAAAGGGGATTCTCAAAGTTGTTTAAGTTTTCAGATACAGTGGTCTAGTATTAATCTGACCACTAGAAATGAGACATCAGATTATTGTCTGCACATTTCTTACCTGCCAAAATATTGGTTTTTTAGAAGAGAATGTCTCAATATCACCAGACTGATGAACAAAGACCTTAAACGGTTATCGATGGCATACCTAAAAGGATTTAACTTTTTATCTTTATGCTAGAGGTAAGACAAGTCTTCACTTGGCATGATCAACTAATTGAGCAGGCTCCTTATAAGCAACAAAGATACTGGGAACATTCTTTTAGGGCCACCAAAATCTGGTTTTCTTCCTTTTATGCAGGCAGTCGTAGCCTAGCAAATAACAGCCTCTGACAGAGTTGGATTCAGATCACTTTTCTTCATTTCAGCTCAGAAACTCTTCAGCTCAAAGCTCGACACCCCAGAGGGTAGATCCAGAGTTTTCCTTAGCTAGCATGCAGCTGTTAAGATCATAGTGTTCATGTTGCTACTGAGCTTTGCACAGGGCAGGGTTAAACATGAAGACAAAAATGACTGATTATCCACATGATTTATCCACATGATAACAGGTTCCATTACTGTTAGGATTGCTGAACACCATTTTCACCAATGTAAATGTGCCAAGCGTTAAGACACCTTGAGACACCTTGTGTCTTCCCAGATGGGATAAATGAATGTTGCCTTTATACATGAAGGGGTATCCAGCTAAAAGATTTTATCACCTCTCTTAATAAGGAAAAACATCTCCATGATGGATCTTGAAGAAGGGAGACTTGGATCAGGGTAGAATAAGGCAGGGTCTCTGATGTTTTTGCAGAGTAGTTGTATTCTTCCTCATGTTCAACCACATCCTCTTATTCTACATAAAACTTCTTCAGTAGAAACATGGAGGCTTCTAAAGGTAATTGGGTTGTGAGCGTAGAACACTTGAATAGCTGTGCATCAGCACATTTAAGTTCTCTCTGTATCTTTATGCTTCACATCTAAGCTCTCCCTCTATTTCTATGCCTCAAAGGTAACAGTGTTGACTGTGTCAGACGTCATCAAACCCAAATTGAACCAAGTTGCCAACATTCAACCCCTGTAAGCAGCTTACAAGGGAGTTTGGCTTTTGATGAAGCTGAAGAGGTCCTGCAGCACCACACCTTTTAGTTTCACATAAACAAAATCTTACCTAGGACTGCTCCATGGGCCCGTGCTACCGTTTCTCCTTTGACCACTAGTTGAATCTGGACTGTTGTTTCCTTGACTGAGTTAAAGATGGTCACGCTAATAGCTTCCTCTAAACCAGATCGGAAAACAGAAGGCGCTGCAATCAAATAACCCCTAGGAAGTAAGAGTGGAAGTGAACAGTTAATGAGAAGAGTCACCAAGCAGGCTCTCCCTTCAGTCCCAAGGTTGGCAAGATGCAATGGAGCATAAATCCATTTAAAGCATTAACAGAAAGGAAAAATTAAACTATCCTATGACATGGATGCCCCTGGAAAGCCACAATGGCAATCTGACAGGAGCCTGGAATTGTGTCTGATATGTGTAAGATGCAACTGATTGCAGTCTGGCATCTGTAATCTCCACTGGCTTCATCCACTAAAGGCTAAAGCAACTGCAACACTCCATCTTGCCCCAAAGAGAGATGGGGCATCCTAAGAGCAGTGCTGCAGTCTCTTGAGAGCAAACCTTTGTATTAGAGATAAGGTCAGCTTCAGGGTAATCTATAGACCTATGGTTCATACTTTGAACACAGATTTTTTTCAGATTTCACTAATAACTAATGTAACTCCTCAGTAAACGTTCACTTGCAAAGATATCTGCATGGAGTTATAGCTTACCTCAGTATGCTACCCAAAGAAGTGGTTCATGTTGGTAGAGCAATCTGACGTTGCTTTAAACTGCTCCAGTGATTTACAGACAACGTGACTTTCATCTCTGACTTATAAACAGGTTAGTAAGTATCAGCAAAAAAAATGGTATTTTTAACTAAATATCACAGTACTTTGAAACCAGCATTATGGCCAATCAAGAGTAATACACAGTTCTCTCTCAAATGCTGTATTGGATGTATTCACACTGATAGAATTGTGTGCAATACTGAGTAGAGCCTATATAACTGATCAAATTCAGCTACTAATAACTAAATACCCAACTGGTGTTATATGCACACACATACAATTAGCTGTACGCAAAAAAGCCAACATCCAGTGAACAATATGGTAACATCACAACTCTTCATAAATAATATTTTCAGAAACAATATCCTGTTTTAACGTTTTAACCATTTGCTTCATTTATCGGAGGCCCTCCTGACACACTTTTAAGGAGGTCTTCTTTCACAACATTGGTGCTGAGAACTTTCTGAAAGTCAGTTTATAGTACATCAAGTTGAGCGTCAAAAGAAAACAACACAACCACTGTTTGAAAGTGCTGGTACTTAAAAAAAAAGGAAGAAAAAGAAAAGGAAAAAGAAGAAAAAGAAAGAAAGAGTTGTCTTTAAAGAGGAAGCAGAAATTAATGAAGCTCAAAATTGGGCTGAAGGAGTTTGGAATTCAAGTTCCTAGTCCTGCCATTTTGTTAAAATAGCTACAACCTGAGCAATATTCTATTCAAGGATTTTTTTTTTTAAATTAGAAAATAACAGATTTCAAAAGAGCCTTGAAAACTATTACAACTGTACATAAAGTGATGCTGTTTATAGCAAAAACAGGAACCTTTTTGATCTTTCAGTACTGAATAGCATGATGCAGTAATTTTATAGGCTGTCTGAACCAGTTTCCTTTTCAATTACAATTGCCAATATCTTCTGTGAAGTATGTGGAAAGTAACATTCTTATATCCTCTTGATGACATCACATACTTTTTCACTTCCCCCCAAAAGGATTTTTTTATAAGGTAACTTTTCATGTCATACACTTTAAAACATACTTCAGCCACTTGCGTCACTTAGCTTCCAGGAGCGGGGTCGCTTTGGTTCGTGATTAATTACGACTGTGGGGTAAGGGGTAAGGGTGATGGCGTTTTACAGCCCCCAAGTCATCTTTTAGCAAATTCCAACCCAGTGTTTGTCTCTCAGCAGGACTCATTGCCATGGAGATCCCATTACACCCCACATCATTTCAGATCTCTGGCATTTTAGTTCGAGCACATGGGATATTTAGACCTTGGAGATTCTGTGGCTGCCAGGTTTGAAACGCATCAGAATAAACAAACCAGTTACTACCTAACCTGCAACATTTTTAGAAGAAAAGCAAAGCCCATCTATTTGGGGGAGAGAGAGAATAGCATCAAGCATCTAGTTTCAAACCACCCTGCCCTTACAGCTGTGAAGCACATGCATTCACAGCGTTTTCAATACTTCTAGCTTTCTTTTTGGACCAGCAGCCTGCTGATGTGGTCACTCGAAATTATGTCATTCCGTGCCGCTGGGCTTGAAAATTAAATGTTTAGGTTGGAAAGTTGGGACACTGAATTGACAGATGCTGCAGGACTCGCTGGCTGCCAGCCCCGTCAGGTTTCCCCGGGAGCCGGGCGCGGGCTGCGGAGGGTTTTGCGGCGAGCGGGAGAGGAGAGGAGCCGTGCTCCCGCGGCGGCTGCCCCGGAGCCCGAGCAGCGGAACAAAGCGGCTGCGGGAAGCGCGGGGCGGGGGCGCCCGAGGCGGGTC